TGTGCGTACGCACATTGCAGTTAATTCAAATTTGGTGTCATTTAGTGCTGTGCGTGTATGATGAATGTGTTCGTTCCCTTATTTATAAATTCTCTATGGTTCTTAGATGTCCAATTGTTATTGGCCTGAGATCATTGTCGTCTTGTAACGATAACCATCTTAATGATTTCCAATGCCTTTATGGCCCGTGAAAAAACCCACAACAAGTGTCATCTATATAGTTTAAGTTATACGAATCACTGTTTGGCATTCCCATTCGCTTTGTATGAATTGTTTCAGATTTAATACAAATATATATATATATATACCTCTTGACATAAATAAATAAAATATTGAGAAAGCATAAAATAACTTATTTTCAAATAAATGAATGTCATAACTAATTCATTTCATCATAGACAGGATTTGCCCAGAAAATGCCATTTGATGATTTTGAATAACTTATAATAAAGTTAATGAATTCATAATGTCAATAAGTAATGGATTATACGATGTAATATCCAACGTAATACTTGTACGCTACATCAATATAGCTTTAATTTGATATATAACATGATGGTGTTTGTCTGAGGTATTCCTATTTAATATGTGACAGGCTATTACGTAATTATATCTTTGTATAAGGTTGATCCCTTAAAATTCCCTTTTATTTGACGCCGTGTATAATTTTTTAAAGCTAACATATTTGCCCTGATTTTCGGGGGCAAAACGGCTCAGATTCTACAGCTAAAATTGACCAAATTAATTCCCATGTTTCTGTCTATTTTATGGCATGTAAATTTGACAGCATTTTTTAAATTGTACAGTCAATATTCTGTAACTAGACTGATCGCGCTGAACAGAGAAAAAACATGTTGCTTTGTTCTACCATGGGGAGGGATATTTATCCAATTTTGGCTTCCGACCACTAGCGTACATATTTCCATTGAAAATATGGCACATTCTGGGGCCGGCTCAGAATTTATTAGATGATTGTCGAACATAAAAGTACTAAACAATGTAATTTAGGTCTCCCCGAGTACAAGTTGTCAGGGACCCACATGAAGACTGTCAGGTACATAGTTTAATGTTGATCTGAATGTTTGGCAATAATTAAAAAAATAAATATTTTACGTCTGAAGCTTGATAAGATACATCGCGTCTGAGAATATTGCCGACGATGATCACAAAAACACTTCCATGAAAGCCCATGGCCAGAAGAGTGGCAAGTATTATAATCCGGCATTTTTTTTTAAATGTAAAGAAATGTAACATTGTGTTACAAAAGGTGAGCGTAGGATAATATTTTAAGAAGAATAATGATATGTTTTTCTTATAGTAAAGAGATAAAAACGCAGTGAAATGTCAAAAACGTTTCTAAAATTTCGTAGGTGTCAGAACCTATTAGCATCTCAACATAGGGGTGTCGGAATATAGGTGTGTAACCCGAGGAGGGATGTGCCCCCCTCAGAAAGTAGAAATTTTTGAAAAATGCAACCAAAATGAAGTCATTTGGTGCATACTTGGGGATTTTCATTCTTGATCATTAAGAATACAGTACATGTACACAGAACCAAAGGCCTTACACAAACGCAGGCTTTGATAGAAGCCTATTATTGATATTTGGGCAAGTCTGGAAAGTGGAGGGGACAGTTGATATTGTGTCCCCCATACTTCAGAAAGTGGGGGACAGTTGATATAATGTCCCCCACCCTTCAGAAAGTGGGGGGCGTGTCCCCCCTGT